GTCTGTTTGCGGGCACCCCATACATTGTGTTTGTTCTGAGAGGAGTGTATTGGGACCAGAGTCTAGACCGCGCCTAATCATACATACGGCAGTCATGCATGACGCGTTCGATGATTTATGGATATAATGGTCTAACTAGACTTCTCTGCATAGGTACGATGTTCATGTCTATTGTATGCCCAGTACTCATTAAGGCTGAGTCTTCACAAGTCGAAATCATGTCCTGGTTAGTATTCCAATCTGCAATACTGGTAGAAAAGGTCATGATTTACGGGACTAATGTATGCTTGGTACTTTTTTATCCTGACTTCTCTAATCAAAATCATGTCTTAACCAGTGTTCAAACGCTAAATATCATAATTTACAGGACTAATCTGTGCTAAATACCCATTAAGACTGAGACTTTCCGCGTGAATCCTGAAACCGTGGTGCTAAATATCATAATTTACAAGACTAATCTATGCTAGGTACCCATTAAGACTGAGACTTAGCGCGTGAATCCTAAAACCGTAGTGCTAAAGATCATAATTTACAGGACTAATCTATGCTAGGTACCCATTAAGACTGAGACTTAGCGCGTGAATCCTAAAACCGTAGTGCTAACGATCATAATTTACATGACTAATCTATGCTAGGTACCCATTAAGACTGAGAATTAGCGCGTGAATCCTAAAACCGTGGAGCTAAATTTCATAATTTACAAGACTAATCTATGCTAGGTACCCATTAAGACTGAGACTTCCCGCGTGAATCCTAAAACCGTGGTGCTAAAGATCATAATTTACAGTACTAATCTATGCTAGGTACCCATTAAGACTGAAACATCCCGCGTGATTCCTAAAACCATGCAGCTAAAGATCATAATTTACAGGACTAATCTTTGCTAGGTACCTATTAAGACTGAGACTTCCCGCGAGAATCCTAAAACCGTGGTGCTAACGATGACGATCACAAGATTCCCCCCCCCCCCCCCCACGTTTCCTGCGTGAGTTTTTACGACTTCCCGTGAGCAACAGACAACATGCCGTCAGAACGTCAGGGGGTGGGGGGGTGGGGAGGTGGGGAGGGGGGAAACGAGGGAGCAGGTTTGTTCTCCATTCAAGCCGTGTCTTCTAGCTAGTCCAAGGCTTCCCAAACTGTGCTAGGTGCAGAAGGGAGCAGTGTTTCTTTCAGACTTTTTTCTCCTTGAGGGGGCACTTGATATTTTACGTGTGGGTGGACTACATTTTCCGGAGGGGGGGGGGGCGACACTGGTAAAAGTATCTATCTATATAAATTCCATCTCGTTCGAGGGGGGGTAGACTTTCTTCGGGGGGGGGGGGGGGCTCCGCCTCCCCGAAGAGATACCTGGAAGAAACTCTGAAAGGTAGGGTCAAACTATTTACCCCTCCCTTAACAGACGCTATTCTGGAATCACTCAAGTACTAATAAGTTTGGAGAAAACAAATATTTAAATTAATATCAATAAGTTATTTGTAAAAAAAATGTTTTTAATAACTTATTTTTAAAAACTTTCGTAATTACATTTTAAAATCTTTTAAAATTTAATAAAGCAATTAAACATTAAGATTCTATGTAACTTGTAAAAATTTGACTATGGAAAGTATTTTGAATATTTTTAGACTCTAGATTAATACAAGCACATTTAACTTAAGACAATGTAATTTTATTACTATTCACTTTGATTGCCTTTAAAAAACAAAACAAAAACAACAACTTCAGTACACAATGTTGCTTATTGTATACTTCTGGTTAAAGTTTTTGTCTGTGTTTATGAAATGTCTAAGGCTAGGCCTAGAATTTGTGATAGTACGAGAACCGGTGCCCTAAAAATGGCATATTTTATTCCATGTCTGGTGAGCGAAGGAGGAAAAAAACACACTGCGTATGTAGAGGGTTGGGTTTTTGGGAGTGGGGGTTGATGATGGGGGGGGGCGAGTGGGAAGGTGATAAGATTAAACATGAGGCATAAAATTCCAGCTCTCCCCCATATCAACGGTATTTCAGGGAGGGAAAGCTATGAAAGATTCCATCTCGGTGAATCTATGTGTGTTTATTTTAGCACCAAATCTATCAAGGCCGCTGGATATCTTAGGATAAAGCGTTCTTTGTATGTGTGTTGGTACATCATGTATGTGTTGTGTTTGGTATGTTAATGTTTTGATATATCTTGTGAATGATGTATGGTACTTTGATAGTTACTAGGTTGTTAAAGTGTTGCTACATCTAACGTGTGTGTTTTAGCCGTGTATGTGTCGGTGCTATATGTTGGCCTGACATATGATGGTTGTTTAATGTGTTGACACACCAATTGTATTATCTTATGGTGTTTATGGGTTGGTTAGTGTGCTGACAAATATTTGTATGGTGTTGTATGGTGTTGTATGGTGTTGTATGGTGTTTAGGAACATGTTGGATAACGTGTACAAGTGAGTTAGTGTGTTGTTGTTTGTGTTTGATTCCATATGTAGTTGTTAGTGAATGTTGGTGTGTGTTTTATGTCTTTTCTTGTAAATGAATCAGACATTAAGTTTATATATGAGTATGTTCAAATGTCGTTCAACTATGTTCTCGTCTGCCCATTAATACTAGTCTACTATTTTTTAGCGCAATTTCCATACTGACAATTGCGATTATTAATTCGTTATTTCTGGATGGATGGATGTGTGTCCGCAGCTTTAAGTCGTATCTCCTCCTCAACGAAGCAATATCGAGGACTAGTTCCAAAAGCAAATATGTTAAGCAAGTTCCGAGGATGATTGTGGGCCAAAAACATTCCGGAATTCCTTCCTGGATTTCCCGGAAAAGCCAAAAAATCTCGAAAAAAAAATGCAGTTTTTGGCCCATAACTCGGCAACCAGACCACTTAGCGACTTGAAACATTTACCAATCGATTTCTGCCATAATTTAGAACAATATTGCCGAAGAAAGTTTTCAAAAATATCCTTTCGTTCGGTCACAAAAAATTAATTAAGGAAATTGCGCTTAAATTGTCACTAGACTTTTTATTAACTTGTTTCCTCTTTCTATTACGTAGCTCTAACTCTATCGTTTACTCTAAGCTTGTGGGAAGTCTAATACAACCTCTGGCACTACATTTTTAATGCTCATTTTACTTGTCATTTTAACGTGATCTGACACAAGTAGAATTGTAAGTGTTTAGTCCAGAATTATTTTTTTTTAGATGTAAATATTTTGTTATGCGGTACCGTACACAAAGACTTATAATTACTTTTTTTTCGAATAAGTGTTGCATTTTATTTTGTCATTTTATATATTTTTCTTTATAATTTTTTTCTGCTTCTTAAATTATTTATCTCTAAATATTTCACTGTATTCGAATTTCATATATCTTTATGAAATTTAATAAATGTATCTCTTTGCAAAAAAAAAAAAAAAAAAAAACCATTTACAACAACACAAAATATCACTGAAAATATAAGTAAACCTAGTAATATTTAGATTTTTCTAAGCAGAAATAATCCTAATTAACTAAATATTAAAGATTGACACTGTTCTCGGTTATTTAGCGCCCTATGCAAAACTTTTAAAACGCCCCCTCTCCACACAAATTATCAATTGCTAAAACATGCATAAGAAAACAATTAATTAAAAGTGACTTATTTATATATTATCAATAGCATACACGTTATAATTAGACATGAATATCAAGTTTTACTTGCCTCCTTCGTCTCAAAAGTTTCTACTAATTCCTGCAATTCCAGTTTGTAAGCGTAATCACATTCTATTGAAATTGTTGCTAAGTCTTCGAGTCTACTTTGTACTTTACGACAATGCCCCCCCCCCCCTTAGAAAATTTCCCTTCCCTTGATAATGTTTAAAAAACCTACCAAACTATTTTTTTTCCCACGTTTTCTTTAACTTGCTTTCGCGTCCGGTTTTCCAATCAAATCTTGCGATCGAAATTTCGGGCACTTGCCAGTTAGCTAGCGCGCTGAAATTTTCAGGGAAGCTTTGTTTTGGATGACCATAGAATATTCAATTGTTATTATTACTAAATTGATCCATGGAAACATTTTATTGAGCATTTTAGACCGCTATATAATCTTTATATATAATTCTCCTCTGCGAGCCGTTAGAAAACAAGCTGCAAGCGCCTCCTTACAGTCCCCTCACTTTCTCTCTACCACCCCACCCCACCCCCACATTGTCTGCTGAGCTGTGGTCACGTTAATGTTTACAAACCGTACAGCCAGGTTTAGTGACGGCTATTAGTAGGCTGTTGCTCGTAATTTTTAAACTCCACTAATTTCAAATAAAATTATACCACAAAAAAACAGTATTTTTTTCCCTACACATTGATACCAATTTTGTGTCTCTAGCTTAATTAGGAGCTAAGATATGGCCTTTTAAAAATTTGTGGGCGTGGCTAAAACAGCTTAGACCTTCGTCATTCAAGTCAATGTTACATAAACAAAAAAGTTGGCACCGATGGTTTTTTTATTGCATCATCACGGATTCGCATTTTTCGAAAAATTAAAAAATTATAATTTTATTGCATCATCCGGGATTCGCATTTTTTGAAAAACTTAAAAATTATAATCAAGCTTAAAGCCTAAGTTATACTGGACTGGATGTGATTTGAATGAGTAATTACATGCCATTGTCAGCCTCATAACATATTGACTTATTGCTCCATGTACAAAAAAAAATTAATGTGGGTTTAAAATAAAACTATATCTAGTTATTGTAAAATGAATTATTAATATTTAATACTGTTACTACACTACTATTATTATATTATAGAAATGCACAAGCACATATTACTGCACACATTCTTATTGTAATGAACAATATTACTTGGGTAGATGAAGTAGAGTAGACCTACATACACACACACACTACATGATAAATGAAAGTTGCAACTGGTTGCCTTGACGTTACTTTCTCAGACCCCCCCCCCCCCCTTTGTACTTGATATCAGTGTCTATATCAGTAGGCCATAATAAAATTATAAAATAAAAAGGAAACAGCTGTCAAAGTGTGTACCAGTATTTATTTATTACTAGTAAATAATTCAATGTAACAATACTGACAATACAGACATTTCAATGTTTGCTAAAAGAAATATAAATTATTAAAATACAGTTATCAGATCACCACATGAATTTTGATTTTGTCTAATAAAATAGAAACATTTACGAGAATGGCAAAGTAAAAAACAAAATTTTTTTTGCAATAATTTAAAAATATGTTTATCAGAGCAAAGAAATAAATTACATAGCGACAACCTAAATTTAGCCTTTGTATAATCTACAATCAACATAGTAATGTAAAACAGTTACATAATCATAATTAGTGTGAAGAAACAAATCTACAGTACAAGAAATCAGCCTCGTCTCATTACGATCCCTTTTAAGAAGAAAAATAGTATTAATTATCAAGGAATAAACACCCATGCCTTGAGTGTATGCTGGGAAAAAAAAATTAGTGACAACAAATTTCTTGGATTACTTTAGTGTTTAAAACAATTTTCTAAGGTATCAATTGTAATTAATCTTTAGATAAAATTTCAATTAGCACATAAAAGGAAAAGAAATAAATTTTTAAAAAGCGTTACTACTTGAGTGATCAAACTGAAAAAGAAAATAGTTTAAATTAGTTTGGACCAACATTTTTGAAGCACGTAACTACTGATTCTAGGATTATCTTGCTGATTCAAATTACCCTGAAAAATAAGTTACGTAATTAAAATGTAATTATTTTTTTACATTATGAAAACAAAACTTAATTATAAACATTGTTAGTGTTAGTTTTCAAAATTTTTACAATTCACAGCAAACATTTTTTCAGTAACAACTTATAAAAACACTAATGTTAAAAAAATAAAGTTAATTTGTATACTACAAATGAAAGAAGTACTCTGTAACTCTTGATTAGCAATTATTCAGTAAGAAAAACAAGATTCCTACAAAGCAAGTCAACAACCAGTGATTCTGCCAGATGACAGATTCTCAGCATTATCCTAATCATCTGCCCAGTAGCTTATGGTGTAAAGAGCTGACTTTTGTTTTGTTGCTGGCACCCTTTCAATAGTCCTTCCACTGTATTGCGACACACCCTGATCACCTTGCTCCCACTTATGAGTCAGCTGGACACCAATCAGATTTCCCATCAGATACCTCTCCAGCTGTCGCACCAAGAAAGGCTCAGTAGAAGTCAACAACGCTTCCATGACTTTAAGAAACAGAGTACATTTGATCGCCACATTGCGTTATTGTAAATGATCTTTATCAAAGGGCCAGAAATTAACTTCTTAATCAGCCTGAGTGCTTGCGGTGCTGCACGAGAACCCCAGGCTTCTTGAGATCTGCAAGCAGTTGAATGTAGATTTTAGTTATGTCCCAGCAGCCACATCATTCTCTTTAAGATGAGCCTTGAATAAAAGCTGGATCTCCATGAAAACTGTACCTGAAAAGAGAAGGGCAAATGGAATTAGAATTAAGCAGACCATTTCACAAAATATATATTTAGCTCAACATATAAAATAAATATAAAAATTAGAAATAAATTCAGCCTCCATACTTACTAAATGTACTTCCACCTGAGGCATTGAACATAGATAGGGCTGTACACAAGTTCAACCAACCTAATCCACTCACAAGCCTCTGTTCTCCTCAGCCGCTTTATCTCAGCCATCAACTTTCTGATTACTTTAGCAATCCTCCTTACACTGGGTTAGTCTTGCCTATAAGCAAATAAGATTTATAAGGAAAACAAATTTACTCAAGCTGTAGGCCCTATGTATAGGCCTATTTTTTTTTTTTTGCTCTAAGTCTAGTATTAACTTCATATTTAAATAATCTGCTGAAATAATAGAGGGCATAGCATAGGGCTTTATAAAAAATTATATATAGGCCTAGTTATATAGATATATTATATATACATATATATTATATAGACCTATTATAGGCCAGGCCTATTTGATGGAGAATTATGCCTGAACTAGTCTAAATCTAATCTTAACAATAACAATGTCTTACTATTTTTACAAGATCTAGACTAGATCTAGACTCCTTGGATGAAATAGAATGCAAGTTTCTGCAAAAATAAAATAATAAACATTAGGGGCCTATTGTAACTAGATCTAGGCCCTAAACAAAATTAACTAGTCTATTTCTTAAAGTTAATAGATAGATCTAGATTAATTTTTACTAGATCTAGATCTAGAATACTCGAATCTTAGATCTAAATACTAAATCTAGATCTAGATCTAGATTCTTTTTAATTTTTTTTACTAAGTCTAGATTCTAGTTACTAGATCAGTAGATTTTTCTAAATCTATTCTTGATGATGTAGAATATAATTAGTAGATCTAGCTAGATCAAGATCTAATAGCCTATTTTTATGTAAAGATCTAAAAATAAAATAAATGTACAGTCTAGAGTCTAGATCTAGACCTATTCAACCGTAATAATTTAGTATGTAGGCTACTTAGCCTAAACTAATAAAATTATAATTAGAATCAAGGCCTAAGTGACAATGAATAACTAATACTAATATCAGAGAGCGGATATCAAGAGATGCGATATTTTAATTATGTAATAATTACTGGGAATTTGGCGCGAGAATAAGGCTTACTCGAGGGCGACATTTCTGCCTATGTGGAGGGTTAAGACATAATTTTTTAACAGATATTAATTTTTTTCGACCCTTAGACTTGAATCATTAATATACTTTTCTCTGACTTTAAATTTTAAGTATATAATTAATTATCCAAACTTACCTTATATTTGAGCACACTAATCCTTGGTGATGTTTCAAACAAAATACAAGAAATAAAACGCGATTAATTTTTAAAACATCTTATCGTAAAGATGAGGACCCCTTCGTAATTAAATGTAGACCGTGGGCTCTGCTCATTAGCATAAACTGATAGGCCCCTAAATACCTAAGGTCAACCGGAAACATGGAATTTAGGTTCAAGGTACAGCCATGATTACCATGGCAACAAAGGTCACGGCGCAAGCTGCGCAACTCGCTACTATTAGGGGCAGATAATTTAGTTTGAACCGACTTTAAACTTACAGGAGGTAACTAAGAGGAGGCTGCTTTCACGGGGGGGGGGGGGGGGGGTTAGGGGAAAGGAGGGGGGTTAGTGTTTTAAAGCAAATATTTTCAGTGGCAGCATTGGTACTGTCGAATTCACAAATTATGAATTATTGAAAAGTAGAAGATAAATCAACTAAATAGCGGAGTATGATACGCCGCGGGTCGGCTCGTTGTAGTAAAACGTGGGGAAAAAGGGACATAACCCAGTAACTGTAATTTGTGTACAAACAACTGTAACAACTGGTGGCCAGTATGGGGGAGACGATATGGTCGAGTGGTTGGGCACACGATTGCTATCCCACTCGACACGGGTTCAAATCTATGTGTTCTAATCAGTAACGTATTCACACAACGCGTTTTTTACGAGTTGTCTTTTTACGAGTTGTCTTTTTACGAGTTGTCTTCGTTTACCCAAAAAAAAGTGAAAAGATAAAATCGATAGCAAGATTTTAATGCAAACAAACAGACAAAGACTAAAAAGTAGAAAATAATAATCATTAAAAAAGTTTTAAAAAACCCACGTTTTCTGATTGAACTAAAAAGTAGAAAATAAATGCTATACATCACAATAATGCAAGCAATCACTCTACTATAAGCGATCAAAAACGTGGGGCGCCGTGATTTTCTTATAGTTTCTAATACTGTTGACTCTCTATAAGCTCCCTAATAAAAGTCAATAGTATTATCTAATCAATAGTAATATAACTTTTACTTCGGCGCCCCAAGTTTTTGATCGCTTATAGTAGAGTGATTGCTTGCATTATTGTGATGTATAGCATTTATTTTCTACTTTTTAGTTCAATCAGAAAACGTGGGTTTTTTAAAACTTTTTTAATGATTATTATTTTAACTTCTGCTCTATATAATTTTTACAATCTATATATATAATTCTCTTCTTCGAGCCGTTAGAAAACAAGCTGCAAACGCGCCTTGCAATCCCCTCTCTTCCTCTCTGTCGCTACCATCCCCCACCCCACCCTCCTCCCCCCTCAAATGGTCTGGTGAGCTGTGGTTCACGCTGTTTACATTTTACAATCGTGGAGTCGGGTTTAGTGACGGCTATTAGGGGCAGATAATTTAGTTTGAAACGATTTTAAACGTGGGGGAGGGGGGAAGGAAGGGGGGGATTATGGTCCTTAACGTGCTACTTATAGTGTTTTAAAGAAATATTTTCAGTGTCAGCGTTGGTACTGTCGAATTCACAAATTATGAATTACTGAAAAGTAGAAAAAACAACAACTAAATAGCGGCGTATGTTATGCCGCGGGCCGGCTCGTAGCAAATAATAACTTAAAGTTGTATTTATAAGTAAGCGGTCAACCTAAGGTGCAGGAATTTAAAATGAATGGAAAGTTAAGCAACGAATTATCTCCCATTTGGAAATTCAAATACCAAAATTTTATTCAAGGGAAATAAGTTTCTCAAAAGTAGCTAAATTAATCTAGCGTAACTAAGACATTCTTGAAAAACGCAATCAAGCGTTCTGAATTTCATTACATAATAATTATAACACATCTTTTGCATTAATTATGTAACCGTGTCAAAAGAATATATTTTTCTAATTGACTACTTAATTGTGGGTTTTGTTTGAAAGTCTAAACACGCTAGCTTTATTAAAACATTCTTCTAGTCAATTTTGATGACAGTATCTACCAACTATCATTAAATTAAAATTTATCAGTAAAATTTTGGATCCCCGAATTAAAGGGACACCTTTCAAAAAATTCAAATTTGGTTAACTGTTTAAGGCAGGGGTCGGCAACCTTTTGAGGCGGAAGAACCAAAAGTTACAATTTTCAAAATTTCCCTGGTTTTAAAGAGCCACTAACATTTTTTTAATTTCAAAATATTTTATTTTTTTATTAAGATTATTAGTATTTGTTCAAGGAGCTGGAGAGCCGCATCTTGATATCAAAAGAGCCGCATGCGGCTCGCGAGCCGCAGGTTGCCGACCCCTGGTTTAAGGTAAGGCATTGCTATAATTATTGAATAAATATAAAAATAATATTATTTGAAAAATAAAGTTTACGGTTAGTTATAAATTCTAGCCTATATAATATTATAATACTTTATGAGTGGTAATTTAGATTCCTACAAAAACAACTAAAGATTTTTTAGCTAGAGAACACCTACCTTTCTTTGTAGTGTGTTCAAATAAAAAAAAAACGACACTTTAACACTTTGATACTTTATACCTACGAAACAGTATCAGCAACAGCCTTCCGCCGTTACTCCCAAATGTTAACGATTCATCAAAACTTTAAAAAAAAACAAGTACAGTATTTTGTACATCCCGTCATTACAAAACTCTATACACCAGAACAGATTTCTAATTCCAAGTCAGAGAAAACGAGACTTACAAGCCCTATTAAAAACCAAAATTGCACGTGTTTTTAGAACGTCCCGTCATGCGCTGGAGCGATCACTAAATCAACATTAAAATTAGATAACCGTTTGGAATGTTTGACAATTTAAATTACGAACATATTTAATCGTTTTCTACATCAATTATGTGACACCAAAATAAAAATACAAAGTGACTGGTAAAAAGCGCCTCGACCTTTCTAAATTAGGGAGGTGGGGTTGCATTTTCACCATCGCGAATAAATATAGGCCTATATAGACCTAATTTTGGGGTGGGGGGCGCAAAATTGATCGTTCGTCATGGGAGAAGAGATAATCAAAAAAGATAATCAAAGTTATTCATTTGTAGGTACTTTTTGATAATAGCGATTAAACCTTTTTGCGCCCCCCTAGGGATGGCGCCCTAGGCGACCGCCTAGTTCGCCTTATAGGTAGCGCCGGCCCTGGTTCTCGGTCGTTGTTGTAGTAATTAGGATAACTCTCTGTGACGTATCATATCCGCGTAGAAAGCGCTAATTAGCATCAAGCGAGAGAGTATAATTACCCAGAATGCCTTGCCCGGAACCCCCACCATTGGAAACGTACTGATTGCGAGATGACTCCCACAAGGCATGGAAACCCCCCCCCCCTACCTGCGTATCCGGGAAATTCATGACAGTCTGGCCTTGATATGCGGCTCCTGCACATTTTTGTGTGAGACGTTGTGATATTATTCGGGGGGGGGGGGGGGGGGGGGGGGGTTATAGTATGAGATGGGGTGAAGGAAAATGATGGCAAAGTTCAGAATTAGTAGACGCTCTGTGTCTCTGTTGTAATCACAGATACTCGCTCAGATGTTTTTTGGGGGAAATAAAGTAAGGTATGGTGTGAAAGAAAATAATGGCTAAGTTCAGAATTAGACATTCTGTTGCCGACATTGTTTTTTTTTTTTTTTTTGTTTTTTGTTTTTTTTTTGGACGGGGGAGAAATTATTGTAAGGGATGGGGTGAAGGCTAATGATGACAAAGTTCAGAACTAGACACTCTGGGTGATCCCATATACTCCCTGAGATGTTTGTTGGGGGGGGGGGGGGGATAAAGTTATGGATGGGATCAAGGATAGTTTGTATATTCATCAAGGAGTTTCGCACGTAGTTATAATATGTCGAATTGCGTTCGTTTGAAAAGTGATTTTAACATTGAGACTGACTTTTTCATCAACAATTTTAAAAATAGTAGTTTTAATTTTGCGAGTAAAATTAATTTTAGTAATGTAAATGTTGAGATTTTGTATTGTTAAACAGGCTTCCTTCCAATAAACCAATAGCTTTTACTTAACTTATTTCCTCTGTCTGTCGTCAGTCTGTTTGTCGTCATAGATCGAAATGCTCGAGTGAAATTTCTGGCACTTATAACAGACAGATTCGGGTCAAAAGTTGGCACGCATGTCAAGAATTGAAGACAATGCAATCGGACATTAAATTAGATGCCTAATTAATTGATTATGAATTAATTAAAATTGTGTCCAAATTATTATTTTTTAATCAGAAACAATCTTTCCTTACAGCACAAAAAAAGAGGATTGTTTAAAACTAAATCAGACACTAAATTTGTACCTGCATACTAATAGAAGAGGATTAAAGTTAGCGAAATTCCTAATGAGGATTAAAATCACTTGGTTTTAGCGTTTAGCAAAACGAAACAGCTCCATTTCCTAAATACTAATTTAAACAAATTTCATTTTAGAAAAGTAATTGCAGAATTAAACTTTCTAATTAAACCTAGTCATTACTACCCCACG